TCTCTCTCTCTCACACACACACACACTCTCTCTCTCACACACACACTCTCTCTCACACACACACACACACTCTCTCTCTCACACACACACACACACACACGCACACGTGAACGCATTCAGTCCGCTCCGGTATCAAACGCAATCAGGTGTGATATGAAGGAGTTTCTCCGCTTTTCTTCTCTTTCGTGAAGGAATAACGGAGGCCCTCTCTTTCTCTCTTTCTCTCTCTCTCTCTGTCTCTCTGTGTGTGTGTCTCTCTCTCTCTCTGACCTGCGCCATCTTTGTAGAAAGACTCTCTTTGGGGCTGCAGTTGCTCGCAAACAAAGAGCAGCCCTCCGATGGCCCCCGGACGAACGGCATTGACGGGCGCTGTTCGTACCTTCAGTGTGCTGGATCCTGGCTCCAAAGAGCAGCGCTAAAAACACCAGACGGCACGGTACTGCATCCATCATCATCATCATCCTCCTCCTCCTCATCATCATCATCCTCATCCTCCCCGCGCTCGCGCTTCTTCTGCGAGCCTCCAGCGGTTAGTGTGAGTGAGTGAGGCGGACGCAGCGCGGAGAGAAAGCGCAGCGCGATCATTGGCTGCGCGCAGAGACACCGACCCCCGCCCAGCTCGCGTTCAGTCTGGACACATTCCTGTCCTCTTCTGTCTGACTGCTTCTCTCTGCTCTTCTGCACGCACCAAACAATATGAAAACCATGCCCGAGTCTGACCGGAGCGACTGCAAAACTCCTGAGATATATAGCCTGGGTATAAAGTAAATAACAATGATCTGTTTACGAAGAGATATTTTACAATGCTGTCAGACACAAATAACATGCCATGGCTAACATGGCACTGTGGCTACTATATATAACAAAAGTCAAATTATATAAATTAATTATAGGCTATTCTTTATATTTTCTTAGTTTTACAATCAAATTATTTCTTTATGTGCATTGGCTTTCAATAAAGCTGTCAGACAGCATAAAACACGGTATAATACTGTGGTGGCTTCTGACGTGGTCTGGTAATCATTCAGTAACAAGGTGCATGTAGTCTATGTTTTATGGCTTCAGGTTATTTTTTATGAATGGTACTAGCTTCAGCTGGTAATACTATAGTAATTACAAAGTTACCAGGGATTTGAGGTACTTTGCTGAGGAGAAACACGGTAGTTTGCTGCATACCATGTAAACGCATGCTATATGAATATAAAAACAAGGTAATTCAAATTAGGTTATTACAGTAAAATCATAAATTCGTTCATAATTTAATAAATCATAATCTAAGTTAGCAAAGAGTTGAAACAACAATGATTGTGAATCAAGACTGTAAGCACACATTCAGGATTATAGATCGATCCAATGCAATATTTTATATCAATAAAAATAACATTTACAAGGATTTTTATATGAATGAGCAACACTGAATAAAATCCAGCTTAGTCTGATAACATGAGCATCCAGAACCATCATCGTTTTGAGCAGTATGTGACTGTAGAGCAACTTCACAATCTTCACACACTTTTCACCCAAAGCAGGTATTTTAAATATTCTCCAAATATATATATATATATATATATATACACACAGCAGATCGTCTTTGTGTCTCCTCTGCCGTCCCTCATGCATATATTCATCCACGAGGACAACACATCTGACCTCGTCGAACCTCCATCCCCCCAAAGCCAGAGATTGATGAGGGCCGATTGTTGGATGTGGGTCTGCAGGTCTGGATTCAGGGGCCCTTCCCCCTTCAGCACACTTAATGAGGGCCCCGATTCCTCCGTCACAGAAGGTGAATGGTCCTGAATGTGTTGTATCAGCTGCTACAGACCCTTCTGATCACACTTCAACTGTAACAACAAAGCAGGATTATTTTAGTACTATTTAAATAGGCCTACTATATTCATATGTTTATATTTTCCATTTTCATTTAAGTTTTGCCTTTGTCTTTTTATCAGTTTTTCTTTCATTATTTTGTATAGCTTATTTCATTTTTTAGTCATTTTATATGTATTTGTTTCAGTCAGTTGCCAAAGCAATATTCAAGTTTAAGTTTTCCATCTAATATTTATGTCTGTATTTTATTTCAGCTTGATTTACATTACTGACAAATAATTTTAAAGTTAACAGTAACATCACTGATTCAAAGACTGCTACAGGAAGTGGTCATGTTTAATAAGGTGCCTTTTATTGTTTTTTGCAAATCGCAAAACTGTGCATTTTCCCCCACATCGGCCTTTCTGTAAAAAATAGCAATTAAAATTATTATATTATGTTGTTTGTGTTAGGAGTATGAGCTTTTGTATTTGTATTTATATATATATATATATATATATACTTTTTATTGTAATTAATGTTCTTTATGTTATCTGGTGGATATGTGTTCACTGCAGCAAGACTGTTTATTGGAGTTTATTGCACTGCAAAGTTTATTGGAAATAATAAAGTATACTTCAATTCAAGACCTAACACTCTAGTGACACATAATGCAAACATAATTTGGAAAAGAACACTTTTTTTTTATTACATCTTTTTTTCCCCCCATTAAAAAATCAGTTATTTAAGGATTTTTATAGTCAGCAATTTCAAGTTGTGATGCATTTTAAAACTTTCTGCAGTGTTAAAATATGCATATTTTTAAGGCGTTGCTGGTAGCAATGGACAATTACACAAGTAGATTATTTATAAACGTAGTTGTTGAGCATAAGAAGTGATTTGCATCGAGTATTTATTAACCTGACCTGGTTTTGGCAAAGGATGGGTGTGGTGTTTAACCTTGAGACGTGTTAGAAATGGCCCGTCTGGCGCACACCTCATTTAGAGCCCAAAACTCAGAAACACTCATTAATTCACGCTGCAACAGTGTTCGTCTAAAAAAACCCCGTCTATGCTATTAAGCAGTAATGGGGTTAACCATAAGTAGGGCAAACAAAAAATCTCTCCACTTAAGGGAATATTTTAGTCCACAGAGTAATTCTTCAACAAAGTTCATGTTCAAAAGAATATAATGCCATTTTTGTGCTAATTGGGCAAATAAAAGAGGTACAATGTGTTACATTATAGTATGAGAGACTTTAAAGCTGCAATCTAATGCATAATTCATGCATTGCCTTTTGCCTCTGTCAAAACAGCCTTTTTAATCTACAGAGATGCAGAGATCAAAAAGATTGGATTTTCATTGACATACAACCTCAAAATCTGAAGAAAATGTGAGTGGTGCTTGTAAAACTCACCGCCACAACGTATCTGTGGTTGCTAGGGTCTTATGGGTGGTTACTAAGTACACTGTCAAAAATCAAACGAGCCCATCCTGAAATCTCTGATATTCTGGTTTCTGTATGTGACTTGGATCTTTCAGTGTAACTCTACGGGATATTTGCAAAAATGTTAGCATCCGTGACCATTATGAACATTATGTGAACATTATTAGGTATTAGGTATTAGGTGAACATTATGGAAGCCATGCAATCAAGAAATAAAAAAGGTATTTTTGACATTTTATCTCCAAATTCTGACTTTTTTTCCCTCACAACTCAAATCTCTGTTTTCTGTTTTTGACACAATAAATAAATAAGAAATTCAGATTTTTTCCTGCAATTCCGTTGTTTTTTTTTTTCATTGAATTCTGGGTTTAAATCTTGCAGTTCTATTTTTTTAACCACAGAATGAAAATGGTAATTATGACTTTTTTTCTCAGAATTGTGAGAGCAATTACGTTATTTATTTACTTATTTTGTGAAAACAAGCTTTCATATAAAATTTTAAGTGCAATCACTTAGAAAAGTGAAAGTCTTTAATTATGAGATGAAAATCGCAATTTTACTCACCCGTGATCTGAATTTACAGGCTGTGTTATTTCTAGAACATGCATGTGCTGATTTAAACTGTATAAAGTAGCTGGTTAAATCTGAATAACTGAACTTCTTTTAAGAGAAATGATTGTTGTTTCATCACAGCAGAAAGCACTGGCGCTTTCTTGATTTAGTAGTGCAGGAAAAGCATGTAGCAGATGCTGAAACATTCTTCCTGTTTCATAAGTGTCTCCAATGGCGTTTGTTCTGCTTATTATGGGATGTTTGGCTGGTGGTTAATGAGGAGTCCTGATGAAACGTCTGGATGACTTCACTCACACTCGCTTGCTCAAACATACCAGACTCAATGGTCAACGGTTCTTGAATTTAGTCTCTTCTGGTCCCTTCATCCCAGCAGAGGAACGTCTGCTTTCTTGAGGATGTGGCTCTTCATGCAGACGTGTCACTGAGGACAGTTTGACTCCAGCTAGACGGGCAAATGAATCAGGGCTGTGGTCACACACGTCTCCACGAGTCTCGCCCGTCTGCTTGCTCCCCCGCGTCTCACGGGTTCCTGAGGGTCACACACCATTTATCCTTAATTAGTGTTATTTAAGTCTTTCAAAAACACGCTCTCATCGGGGAGGGAGGAGAGTTGTGTTGAGACGAGAGAGATGAACACATTCACACTGCCCCTGGGTAGATTTAGAGCTTTAATTATTTTTACCACGGTTTGCTCAGGATAAAAGTATTAAATTGTTACATTTAACTCATTCAGCACCGTTTGTGCAACAGATGTGAATAATATCACAAATAGTGTGACTTGTTGAGGAAACAGGGTGCTATACAGTTTTTCTTTTAAAGGAATAATTCAGCCAAACATGAGAATGTGCTGAAAATATCCTCACCTTCAGGCCAACCACAATGTGGATGAGTTTGTTTCTTCATCAGGTTTGGAGAAATGTAGCATTGCATCAGTGTCTCAGCAACTCGCTTGCTCAAACATACCAGACTCAATGGTCAACGGTTCTTGAATTTAGTCTCTTCTGGTCCCTTCATCCCAGCAGAGGAACGTCTGCTTTCTTGAGGATGTGGCTCTTCATGCAGACGTGTCACTGAGGACAGTTTGACTCCAGCTAGACGGGCAAATGAATCAGGGCTGTGGTCACACACGTCTCCACGAGTCTCGCCCGTCTGCTTGCTCCCCCGCGTCTCATGGGTTCCTGAGGGTCACACACCATTTATCCTTAATTAGTGTTATTTAAGTCTTTCAAAAACATGCTCTCATCGGGGCATTCGTGTCTGGAAGGGAGGAGAGTTGTGTTGAGACGAGAGAGATGAACACATTCACACTGCCCCTGGGTAGATTTAGAGCTTTAATTATTTTTACCACGGTTTGCTCAGGATAAAAGTATTAAATTGTTACATTTAACTCATTCAGCACCGTTTGTGCAACAGATGTGAATAATATCACAAATAGTGTGACTTGTTGAGGAAACAGGGTGCTATACAGTTTTTCTTTTAAAGGAATAATTCAGCCAAACATGAGAATGTGCTGAAAATATCCTCACCTTCAGGCCAACCACAATGTGGATGAGTTTGTTTCTTCATCAGGTTTGGAGAAATGTAGCATTGCATCAGTGTCTCAGCAATAGATGCTCTGCAGTGTATGGGTGCCGTCAGAACGAGAGTCCAAACCAGAGATGTTCACAAGTCTTTAACTTGGAGTCTGAGTCAAGTCTCGAGTCATTTAATGGCTCGCTAAAAAAATCCCATTCAGAATTCTCATGTATTGAAATCTTCCTATTTACGAAGTTTCAGACTATAGACAAAATATATGATCTATGGTCTGCTTTTTTTTTTTAAAGAGGTGTTAAGATGTAAGGTTAATGTACATCCAGCCTGTTACTTATGTTTTAATCCATTACCATGTTCAAAATAGTTTTTCTGTAATCAAATTCTATAATAAGAGTCATATCTACCATGACACATAAGGAAATATGTGACACAGATATTGCAAAACCATACAAATAAATTGTTTATTTTTTTATATAAGTCAGGGGTATTCAATTAAAGTTCCAAGAGGCGCGCTTCTATATTTTCTTCCAAGCAGATGTCCGGACAAAAATAAATAAATAAATAAATTACACGTATTGAATTTTTACATTACATTTTTACATGGACTCAACATCCAATCAGCAACTGATGCACTGAACCAAACCCGCCCTACATTACAATACAGAAGAAAAGGTCTGTTGTTACTTCATTTCATGGTGACTTTAAGTCCAGATCGTGTTGGTGAGGCTCCTGCAGTCCGATCAGTGTCTGCTAACACATTATTTTCTCTCGCTCTCAATTTCCTGATTGCTGTTTTGATGCGGGCTGCCAAGGCCCTCCCGGTGCTCAGGTGACAGTGGCAGACCTCTCTTTAAGTGTTAATGGGACGTCACCAGCTGTCCGCACAGGTAGATCCAGAGCCCCGCTCCGAACCATCTGTGCATCCTCCATCATTACAGCAAACAGAGAGAGAGCGAGGTGGCCAGAGCTCAGGAGACACAAACGCAAGGAGGGTTTAAACAGAGAGCAGATAATGAGGATCGCTGGGATCTCCCGGAGGAATACGGCCAGCTGTCACTCACAAACCCTGCGGGTCACCTGGACCCGGTTCCCACACTCACCAAACCCGCTGGAACGGCCTCTCAATCATACGACTCAATGCATGTTTATTCAGACTCATGTCAGACTGATCCAGGATCAGCTCTCCCTATCAGACTCGTGATTTATAGAGCGGTTCAGCTCACTCTCAGCTGTTACGGGTCCACGCAAAACTGTTGTGCTCTTGATGTGATGACTAAAGATTTTAGGTGCGGTCCGATTGACAGGGTCCCTACACAGTGTCCACTGCTCCCTACTCCCTAAGCACGGGATATCTGTTGAAGTGGACTTCGCTGACAATAATCACTCATTTGGAACGCCCTGGAACGTCATCAAAGAAAGGCAATGACGGGGTCACGCAGATTAATTCAATACAATATGCATCAGTGTTCCCTTATTCCCTGTGCCATTCACAGTGCCCTTCGAACTGAACATGTTCACTCCCTTCGGATTGGAATCTCACTTAAGATGGCGAAATACCCTGTGAAGTCCACTTCGCAGTCCACTAATGGTTGAATGGATCGCACCTTTTAACTTTAATTTTATGGTGCATTTAAATCGTTTATCATGGCTAATAATAGTTTGACTTTTTTTCATTTAAATGTCAAATACAGTTTAAAGCAAGTTTATCAAATCATGAAAATCTGCTACCACAAAAAACACCTGGGTAATCACCTAGTAGCACCCTAGCAACCACCTACAACACTCTAGTAATACACTAGCAACCACCTAAAACCACTCAAATTCGTTTTTGACCCACTTAAGCAGGACTTCAGCACATCTGTATATGTAATTTCATAATTACTTGTATTGTCTATTGTCTTAAAGTACTGCTGAATGTACATACTGACAATCTAAAAAACTCATAAGCCAAGGCACTCGAAAATGTAGTGAAAAAATGAAAAGCCTTTATTCACATGGCTTTGCATTAAAAAAGCTGAACTGGTCACACTATAAATCATTCAGAGCTTTATGAAGAATCATCACATGAAGGAGAGACCTGGCCGAGAAACACGCTTAAACAATCATCGCTCTCAGACTGTTAATTAAACGAAACTCTTCATTATTTGTCATAGCGGTCATGACTTCATCATAAGCTTCTGAAAAACAGCTGAAGCCGGTTTGCTGGTCTTATGGAGTTCTCTGGTCCTGCACAAACCCTCTTAAACCTGCAGACCAGACCAGACTGAACAATACAGTACGGTGCGACTCCTCTGTTTTGTGGTTAATTACACTGTTTATAAAGCATCTACAAACAGACTCTTGGTAATCCCAGGTCGTGTTGAAGCACACAAAACAGCTTCGTCGTGAGGCTGGTGATGAATGTGTCTGAGGCCCCCGTGAGGAAGCAGTCTGTCATTACTCGCACAGAACACAAACAACAGGCCTTCCAAACTTCACTCTACACAGGAATGTTTGACATAAATCAAAGATTAATAGAGTACATTTGACAAGAAAATACTCATTCAGTTTTTCTATTTTACAATTAATTCAGTGTGTTACTTGCCATTTCTTTGAAATTATTTGTGAAATGTACTAGTTTTTTCCAGCGTTGTTTGACATTCATTTCTACTCAAGGTTTCAGTGAACATGCAGATATATTCAGCGGTTATCTGCTAACAACACTGTCTCTCTACATCATCAATAACACAAGATATCAGTGTCTCTTTCTGTTTACAATCACTCTATCTTTACTGTAATATTAATACCTTCATGTTCTGTAGAGACTGATGTAATGGCTAGTTTTGGGGTCCTAAAATCGATTGTTTTTCCTTCCCCTTCTATAAATATTTCTGACCTAATAACCCTTACCAAAAAGTAGTATACTTCAAGCTTATTTTATTAAGTATACTTAAGTAAAGTTCAAGTATATATGTAAGTATACTTTATGTAGTAAGTATACAAATATCAGTGTACTAGTAGTATACTTGTAAGTGTACTGTTTCAATACTCATTGGGACTAAATTGGCCCACTTTCTAGAGGCAGAGATGACAGATATTATTGAAGATTTAACCTGGAAATGTGACTTTATATATTGTGCTCTGTTTGACACACAAAACACGTCGGTGACTCTTGGAGCCCAGACTAAATTATTGTAACATTATTGTGAAGGACGTTTGAAGCATGTTGTTAAATGTTAATTTTGTCCATAAGCGGTTCTCGTAATATTTGGAAAATTCATTAAATATCTCAGACCAAACAGAAGATGAAGGTTATGACTGTCCAGTTTTGATGACCATATGAATAACTCACCTCACTGACACTGGATGAGAGAAACCTCTAACACACACACTCACACACACACACACACACTCTCTCTCACACACACACACACTCACACACTCACACACACTCTCACACACACACACACTCTCACACACACACACACTCTCACACACACACACACTCTCACACACACACACACTCTCACACACACACACACTCTCACACACACACACACTCTCACACACACACACACTCTCACACACACACACACTCTCACACACACACACACTCTCACACACACACACACTCTCACACACACACACACTCTCACACACACACACACTCTCACACACACACACACTCTCACACACACACACACTCTCACACACACACACACTCTCACACACACACACACTCTCACACACACACACACTCTCACACACACACACACTCTCACACACACACACACTCTCACACACACACACACACACACACACATGTTGCATTTGCATTTGGCAGACACTTTTATTCAATACGACTTACACTGCATTCAAGGTACACACTGACATTTTTCAGTTCATGCCTTCCCTGGGAATCGAACCCATGACCTTGGGTTATAAATGAAATAAACTGCAGAGATGTTCCCTGTAGCTTTGAAAACCCTGAATAGGACACATAAAAATGAATTAAACGGTAAATAAATAAAACATCTCTGCCTGCTTCATATAGGCTCTTTAACAGAGGTCTTTAGTTGAGATGCAGAAAACGGCTGCCGAACCACACACCGGATTCATTCCTCCATTTCTGATGCTGCCACTAATAATCAAAACACAAATCAAACATAATCTGAATATATATATATATTATCATTTCCATCCTGACTACAGCAATCGATCATACGGTAGATCAGTGCAACTTGTTCATACATTTCATATTGTGTGCACTGCTTTCTATATGACAGATTTGCTTTCCTTTACGATGTTCACTACTGCTCAAACGTTTGGAGATTTATTTTTTTTTTTTAAGAAATTAATACTTTTATTCATCAAGGATGCATTAAATTGATCAAAAGTGACAGTAAAGACATTTATAATGTGACAAAAGATTTCTATTTCAAATAAATACTGTTCTTCTGAACTTTCTGTTCATCTGTGAATCCTGAAAAATAACATGTATCACAGTTTCCACAGAAATATTGTGCAGCACGACTGTTTTCAACATTGATAATAATCAGAAATGTTTGTTGAGCAGCAAATCAGCATATTAGAATGATTTCTGAAGATCATGTGACACTGAAGACTGGAGTAATGATGCTGAAAATACAGCTGCGCATCACAGAAATACATTACAGTTTAACAGAGATTCACATAGAAAACAGCTGTTATAAATCATAATAATATTTCACAATTTTTACTATATTTTTGATCAAATAAATGCAGCCTTGGTGAAATTAGATATGTAAGTTCAGTGAGTTCCTTAAAGGGATAGTTCATCCAAAAATGAAAATGTGATGTTTATCTGCTTACCCCCAGGGCATCCAAGATGTAGGTGACTTTGTTTCTTCAGTAGAACACAAATGATGATTTTTAAGTCCAACCGTTGCAGTCTATCAGTCTTATAATGCAGACTACGCCAGAGCGCGTACACACCTCACGCACCGGATGCTGTGCTCGCGCTCAAACACAGTTGGACATAGTGGTGTATTAGAGGTAAAAAATGATATAAATACTGTTCAGTTTCTGGCACAAACCGATCGTTTCGTGTCTTAGGACATCAATGTGTCGTCACGAGCCGCAGGGTTTAATTTGGATTTGTCTGTGCATGTTTTTTTTACTCTCATAGATGTTGTTACCATTGCCATGCATTATACGACTGATAGACTGCAACGGTTAAAGTTAAAAATCATCAAATGTGTTCTACTGAAGAAACAAAGTCACCTACATCTTGGATGCCCTGGGGGTAAGCAGATAAACATCACTTTTCATTTTTGGATGAACTATCCCTTTAATAATTTACCAACATATTTTGTTAAATGAATACAGCTTTGAATAATCTCTCAATAATTATGGAATAGTTTTATGTGCTGTAACAATTGGATTTATGGCCAATGGAAGATATTAAAAAAGTGATATTAAACAGTTGCGCCAGACTCACAGTCACGTCTTCATAACGTTCACATAATCTGGTTCTTGCGGAGACTAGAGGAGAAAAACAAGACCAAAATATTATTACGTACTGTAGATCTGCAATAAATTTCTGCTATTTTAAAGCTTGTTATTTTCTCAGCAATACAATAGCTACATATGATCCAAATAAATATACAGAAAATATATTGTAAGCATTTACTGCATTTGATAAAACGCTTTTTTTGACCAAAGCCGGGCCGGTGGACACTCTCACACTCACACACACACACTCTCACACTCACACACACACAC